ATGGCCACCGAGGCGCGGATCAGCAACGCGAGCCCCTGCGCCGAGCGGGGACCGAGGCGCCGAGGGCCCCCTTCGACTGAGAACACCACGAGGTGGTGAACGTTTTCTGTTCTGCGCCGCTTTGACATCCGGGGGCGCGCAGGCACGAGGAGGAGGAGGAGGAGGAGGAGGAGGAGGAGGAGGAGGAGGAGGAGGAGGAGGAGGAGGAGGAGGAGGAGGAGGAGAATCAGGACGAGGAGGAGGAGGAGGAGGAGGACAAGGAGGAGGAGGATGAAGAGGAGGAGGAGGAGGAGGAGCAGGAGGAGGAGGAGGAGGAGGAGGAGGAGGACGAGGCGATCCATGGGCTTGGCGCGCGGTGGCCAAATCCATACTTCGGGGGAGGTGCCATCCCCAAGAGCGCGGCCCGTGCCGCCTCGCTCGGCGGCGGAAATCCGCGATTTCCCATGGAAACGGGACCCGTCGCTAATCCACGCCCCCTTGATCCATGTTGGCGATCGCCTGAGACATTGGGCGGAACGGTAAGGTTTCGGGCTGCGCACAGACGCAGTCCCTCCAGGTAGCCCTGGCTGGCCTCAACAGCCCCGCCGAGTTGTCCCAGCTGGCCTGAGCAGGCCCCCCGAGAGTCTTTGTCGCTTCGACATTGGGCGGAATGGTAAAGCTTCGTGTGTGATCTGCCGTGCTCCTGTGTGGTCTGCCGTGCTCCTGTACATACAGAGTGCGTCGAATACAGCTCATCCCAGGCAGCATGCTTCGAGGATGTCTACGTACAGCGAGAGCCTAATGTTAGAGGACACGAAAAAATCGCGACCAACTTCAACATATCATCTCCAGAGGATGCGCACAGGCAGTCCCCCTAGGTAGTCCCGGCTGGCCTCAACAGCCCCCCCGAATTATCGCAGCTGGCCTGAGCAGGCCCCCCGAGAAGTCCCGGGCGGTCCCAACACCTCAGCCCTGGAGTGCGGAGCGTCCCAGGGGCGCCGCCAGGATGTTCAGACCGCCCTGGACTACTCGCGGGGCCTGTCGAGGCCAGCTGAGAATACGCGGGGGACCTGTTGAGGCCAGCTGGGACTGCCTGGGGGCACTGTCCGTGCGCAGCCCGAAGCCTTCCCAGGGCGGAAGGGGGGGGTCTGGCTCCGGACCTCTGCTTAGTGCGAGTGTTTGCAACAGTGCGTCCCATGGGGGGTCTCCACCTGCTTGGAACGGGCGCCCCAAACAGCCAAGATCTACTCCATGGGGGAGGGGGGTGCGAGGGCCCGCGCCGATCGGCAAAACAATGAATAAGAAAACGACGACGTGGAGAGTCCAGACACAAACGTAATTACACAGCCGAACACATGACAAACAAAAACCAGCATGTAAGGAATCGGAGCTAACGTCCCAGAACTTCCTCAACTAAAACTGGTGCCAACTTCAGTTGTTGCTGTGCGAGGGGCGAAGGAGCTCAAGAAGCTGGGCCAACTTTCAGGCAAGTTGGTTGAGAAACGCTGGCCCAGCTTTTCGAGCCCCGTGCCAACTGCACAGCTCCCGACTCCATTACTCCCGGGACCACTTTTTGGCCGCGGGCTGTTTTGCCATAGTCTGGGCCCCCAGACGTGGAAGTCTCGGAACAGGCATCGGTGGCGCGCCGGGGATGAAACGAGAAGGAGCAAGCCTTCTCAGAAGACTCGGAAGTCCTCCGGCCTTCCGAGAAATTCCCCAAGTCCTCCCCGAAGACGCGGACCACTTGTCAGAGAGCGCGAGGGGTTCTGAGAAGTCCCGCCGCCTTCTGAGAAGCCCCTCTCCTTCTCACTTCCCCCTCCTTGCTCGCCGCCGATCGGGACAGGCGAGCGTCGTGATGCTTCCCGCGCCGCCCGGGGGCCTACAGAGGTTTGCAGGAAGCCTCTGCGGAGGCCTGCAGAGAGCCTTCCAAAAGCGCCCCGACGCTCCACACATTCCGTCTTCCCCTCGATACACAGAACCGCGGAAACTCTTAATCCTCGATCATCGCTAACAAAAATCCGTCTTCCCCTCGATCAGCAAAACGCCGAAGCTTGCAATTCTCGATCCTCGTTGGAAAAAGTGCGGACTCCTCGATAATAGAAATGCCGAAGCTCCCCCCCCCCCTGCTGGAGGGATTGCGGTCCAAGCGCTGAGACTAATCTGTTACCACCGCGTCCCTCCAACGCCCTGCGCTGGCACCCCAGGCACGGCCGTTGCTTGGTACCCAGCCACGTTGCTTCACCCAACATCCTGCTTCTCCTCCTCTTTCCTCCGTCCTCCGTCCTCCATCTTCCGTCCTCCTCCTGTTGACGTTGGCCATGAGTAAAACGAGAGCTTGTTGCGTCGAATCCTCCTCCTCCTCCTCCTCCTCCTCCTCCCCCTCCTCCGCCTCCTCCCCTCCTGCTCCTTCTCCTTCTCCTCCTCATCCTTCTTCTCCTTTTCTCTCCTCCGACGCGTCCCAAGGTGCATGCCGACCTGCCCGTGTCAAGGGCGGATCCCCCCCTGGCTACTCACTGAAAGCGCCGTGCTCGTATGGTACAGTCGTTGCAAGCTACCAGACGAAACTCTCTCCCGGCACGCGTTGCCTCCGCACCTCCATGCTGTGCTGTAGGCTCTGCCTCGGGCATTCCCGGCCCGCAGGGGACCCGTTGCCACTCGTGAGCTGGCGTCCCTGAGCGCCATCCGAGCGTGCCGCGTTGCTTGCTGTAAATCCCTGCCCAGGTGAGTCTCTGCGTGGTGGCCCTCCCGCCAAGGGACCTGCCGCCACTCACGGAATCGCGTGCCTGCGCGCCAGCGACTGCATGACATCGCTCGTCGCAGCATCAGGTCGCAATTGGGTGTGCGACAGCTCTACGATGTCATAGGCAACCCTCAGACAGGAACCCTTTTCCTCCTGCCAGCGCCGTGTGCGAAGCTCCCTTGGCGACCACCGCAGGGCAACAATGCCTGCCTTTTCCTTTTTCCCTCTTTTACGCTCAATGCCACGTCAGAGTTTCGAGGCCCGGCATCGTGGGCAAAGAGTGCGACCAGCGTAGACAGTGCGACAACATTGCAGATGGTTCCGCTCACATGCCCGTCTGCCAGAGGACCCTACCAAAAGCATGGCGCTACTCTCGTAGTTCCATCCATTGCTTGCTCAGTGCGCTACTCTCGTAGCTTCGCCCTTCGGAGGTACGCTTATGCAAGGCCGACAGCCGAGTCAAACATAGTTTATTTGGTGTGTCTCTCTCTCTCTCTCTTCTCTCTTCCCTCGTCGCCCTTCTCTCGTCTCTCGTCTCTCTTCTCTCATCCCTCTCCTTCTTCCTCTCCCCCTCCCTTCCTCCTCCTCCTCCTCCTCCTACTCCTCCTGCTCCTCCATCCCTCTTCCTTATGAATAACCTACCCCCTGCCGCACCACCAGGCGTTTCCGTAGGCCCGGTCAGAGATTTCGCTTGAGACTTCCTTGCTGACTCTTACCCTGAAGCTGGAAAGACTTCAACAGCTACACGGATGGAGGGTAAGTCGGCTTCAAGATGCGGCTCTCGCCTGAACGCAACACGCATATTCGTGTTCCAACACTTGGAAGGATGGAGGGCCGCTCGTTTGCAAAATTCGGCTCTCTCCTCAACGCCGCGAACATTCGTTTGACAGAGCTTCTAACAGCAAGAAGAATGGTGGGGTGGGTGGGGGGTGGAGGGCGTGCGTTTTCAAAATGTGGCTATCGCCTGAACGTCGCGCGCATTCGTTTTCAAGGTTCCAGCAACTACAAAGTCAGATCGTGTAAATAATGCAGCCCTCGCTTCAGATTTCCTCACAGGCTACGACCCGAAATTCTAAAGTATGCAACAATTCCACGGATGGACGATGGCTCCTTTTGAAAAAAAGGTTCTCGCTAGATGCGTCCGCAACGTGATGACCTGATCTTTGAAAAGTGCGTAGCACTTGCACGAACGAAGGGCAGACCCTTTTCAAAACGGCGCCATCGCTGGCGACCTCCTTGAACTTTATCATCTGACCTGTCTGCGTTAATCAAGCGGGGCCTTAAGGAGGAGGAGAAGGAGGAGAAGGAGAAGGAGGAGGAGGAGGAGGAGGGGGAGGAGGAGGAGGAGGTGGAGGTGGAGGAGGGGGAGGTGGGGGAGGAGGAGGAGGGGGAGGTGGAGGAGGAGGTGGAGGAGGAGGAGGTGGAGGAGGGGGAGGTGGGGGAGGAGGAGGAGGGGGAGGTGGAGGATGAGGATGAGGATGAGGAGCAGGAGCAGGAGGAGGAGGAGGTGGAGGAGTGGGAGGTGGAGGTGGAGGAGGAGGAGGAGGAGGAAGGAGGAGGTGGAGGAGGGGGAGGAGGAGGAGGAGCAGGAGGAGGAGGAGGAGGAGGAGGAGGAGGAGGAGGAGGAGGAGGATGAGGAAAGCAGGAGGAGGAGCAGGAGCAGGAGGTGGGGGAGGGGGAGGTGGAGGTGGATCCTCAACAGAGCGGGGCCCCGCCCCAGCGGCAGGCCCAAAAGGCGCTCGCCATTCGAGGAGTGCGCTTCAGTTCGCGTAGGGACCAATGACTGCGGGCCTTGGGACAGGAGGGTATTGCAGCATCCTTGGCGCATCCTGGCTTTCCTCTGGCCCTCCTCCCTCCTCCTCCTCCTCCTCCTCCTACTCCTCCTCCTACTCCTCCTCCTCGTCCTCCTCGTCCTCCTCGTCTTCCTCCTCCTCCTCGTCCTCCTCCTCTTCCTCCTCCTCCTCCTCTTCCTCCTCCTCCTCCTCTTCCTCCTCCTCCTCCCCAAATCACCGGTTTCGATTTTTTTCGTCACGTAGACCTGGGAGGTCTAGGCCATTTCCCGAATACCGGCTTTCCTTCTTTTTGTTGCTGTTGTTTTGACGATCCTGGGCCTGGCGAGGGCCCCAGGAGGCCGAAAACGGCCCAAAACTGTCCGACGTGTTTTTCCACGACGCGAGGGGGTCTAGGTCCTCCTCCTCCTCCTCTTCCTCCTCTCCTCCTCCTCCTACTCTGGTCCTCCTCCTCCCCTGGAGGCGTTCTGGAGCACCACCCCGCCGCTCGCGTCCTTCTTGTCGTCCGACCAGCCCTCCCGCCAATTGTCCATGCCCTCGGCCGCCGACGGCGGGCTACAGAAGGAAGGCCGCTGGCCACGGCACGACGAGAGCTTCCAGCTCGAGCTTCGAGCATCCAGGCTCGAGCTTCGAACATCCAGGCTCGAACTTCGTTCATGCAGGAGGCCTGGGCATCCAGGCTCGAGCTTCGAGCTCTGCGGGTATTTCTGGCTCTTCTTGGGCCTCCTGGGGAGGCTCCTGGGGACCCCTCGTCGCCACAGCCGGATCCGCCTCGAAATCCTGGCCAGAACGTACCCAATGACAGGTCTGGGGTTTCGATCTTTGGAGCTCGATGAGGAGGAGGAGGAGGAGGAGGAGGAGGAGGAGGAGGAGGAGGAGGAGGAGGAGGAGGAGGAGGAGGAGGAGGAGAAGGAGGAAGAGGAGGAGGATGAGGAGGAGACTTTGGAGGGTAGAGATCACCTCAGAGGCCTTACGGAGGAGTGTAAATGTCGCAGCGGAGAGCCCCCCACCAAGATGGGGCCGTTGGTCCTCCCCAGAGATTTGGCGGGGAGGTCACCCAAATGAAGTCCCCCCGAGCTTCTTTCAGCCCCGACAGCGTCGGTGTGGGAAAGTCTTTTGGAAAGTCCTCCGCTCCTTCGACGAGGCCTGTCGTGGGAGACCCGTGGGAGCAGGGCCTACTGCTGGGCGGCAGGGTTGGCAGGAGCCCCCTGCCCACCCAGGGGCGACCTTCCAGAATGCCAAAACATAACCTGCGATCAGCAAAATCACGACGGGCAATTGTTAACCGTTTTCGGCCGGCGCCCTCACCGGGCCCCAGGACCGTCAAAAATGGCTGGGGACGAAACACTGGACATCTGGGGACCGCGCATGCAAAATAATTCTGGAGAAAAGCCCCAATCATGATCTTTTTAAGGCTATGCGGCTATGGGACAATACGGCTTGAAGGCAATGCGGCTAGAAGGCCATGGGGCTATAGTGCTATAGGGCTAAAGAACTATAGGGCTATAGGGCCACAGGGCTATAGGGCTGTAGGGCTATAAGGCCACAGGGCTATAGTGTTATAAGGCTCTTGGGCTGCAGGGCATCTGGGGACCGCGCGTGGCAACAAACATCAGGACCTCGGACGTCTGGGTTATGAACTTTTGCTTCGCGTGCCGCGGCGGCGGCCTCGGCGACGCGCTCTGCCGTGCGAACGGGAAGCGTGTCGCTCCGCTCCGCGGGGAGGTGACGGTGACGATGATGACAATGATGACGATGACGATGACTATCATGACGATGACGATGACGATCATCGTCATCACCGTCATCATCATCGTCATCATCATCAACATCATCATCACTATTACCATCCACATCATCATACTCATCCTCGTTTCCATCCTCATCCTCATCCGTCTCCTCCTCCTCATCATCTTCACCACAATTACAACCACCATCACCATCATCACCATCACCATCATCATCACTACCATCACCAACACCATCACCATAATCATCAACATCAGCCTCATCATCAGCATCCGCATCACCAGCATCAGCATCATTGTCCTCATCCTCGTCAGCATCACCACAACCACAACCATCACCACCATCGTCATCACCATCATCCTCATCATCACCATCACCATCATCATCACCATCATCACCACCATCATCCTCATCACCACCAGCACCGTCATTTCCACCATCATCATCATCAGCAACAACATCAGCATCACCACAGCCACAATTTCCATCAACATCACCATCATCATGATTTAACGCGGCCAATAGAATGATATCCCAGAGCGATGCATTGTGCAGCTTGCCACCAGACGCCACAGAATTCGATTGAAACTGTGTCCCAGGGGGGGTTGGGTCGGGAACAACAAAAGGCTGCAGAGCGAGGCAGCGGGCGAGGCACGCCAGGCTGCTGCTACCTTCCCCCTACTCGTCTCACAGAACGGCCCCTCTGACATCATTGCTGTGCACGCACTCTCATCATGATTTAACGCGGCCAATAGAATGATATCCCAAAGCGATGCATTGCGCAGCTTGCCACCAGACGCCGCAGAAATCGATTGAAACTGCGTCCTATTCCCCATCCAGAAGAAATGGTCCCCGTCTTCCAGCATGTTTTGGCTTCGGGCGGGTTGTGGAGGGAGAAGCCGTAGACCACGGCCAAAAATTCGATAGAGCAGAAACGCCTGCCACGCGCAACTGAGCCCATAACGATCCGAACGCATGCGCCACCGCAAAACACAACCGCGGAAGAGGAAGATAATGTTTTGGACGATGTCTGTCTTCCAGCCGGCCGTTTCTTTCCCGTCGAGGTGTTCATGCGGCCTACCCGAGCGCGAACACATACCTGCCTTGCCGGTGAACTTGTGATCCAAGTGCAAGTCGTCGAAATCTGAGGACATCAGGATGGAGGTGCGCTTCCTGAACTCGGTCCCGAACTGGCACTGATCAAAAACAGCGATTCTCGCATTCTTCGAATTGTGGAGAATCTTCAAAAACGGTATGTCCCAGAGCATGGAGGAGGCGGGGTTTCCGATCATGAACGGAATGTTGTATCGAAGAGCCTGCCGAACGAGCTTGCAAGTGACTTTCGCAAGCCTGTTGCCTTCAAGACACACCTTTTGGTCCTTTGTGGGTGGATCCAAGAAGCCCCAGGTACACTCGGGAGAACGGGCAGCGCTGGGCAGGGGAGAGGAACGCGGAGCTCTTCTAGCTATACTGAATGAGCGGCACGGCGTAGGCATTCAGATTCCTTGCGCCCTGCCCACGCATCATTTCCAGCAGCGGTGGCACCGCGCCAGGCGAGAAGATGTCCGTGCCCAGGTCGAGCTCGATCTCTAGCGACGAGATGCCGCACCGCGCAAAGGCCTTACCGATCCCCGCGGTGCCCTCGAATACATCCAGGAAGACGCCGCCTCGGCCCAGGCAGACGGTCGGGGTGCGCGGACCCTTTCGAGGAGGATGTCGCCAAGTTGCTCGCAGCAGTGCCTGAGGTAGTCGTGGGCGTCGGGGAGCAGCTCCACCAATTGAGCATTGATCTTGCTGGACTTCTCGTGCCTGATGAGTGAGCTGCCGCTGGCCCAACGCCCGCGCCTTTGCACCTCCAGCTGCGATCTCCTGTTGGTGATCACGTCCCAGCGATGCCGAATTTCTCGAGGTGACAGACTCTCGCGGCCTTCGCGACCAGGTTGCCGAGCTCCATCTGCGAGAACGACCACAGCGGGTCCTTCGGCAGCTTGCCTTTGCGGTGCTGCTCGAACCGGTGGCCCAAGCACTGCGCGTTCTCGTGGTCGAGAGTCGCATCGTCGTCGTGCACGCCTGTGTTGGTTGGGTCCCCATTGTCGTCGGAGGGCCCGAGAATGAGCGACCGCTTCTGGTACTCCGGCCCGAAGCCAACTGCGGGTGGGACGACGTCCCGAACGCGGAGTCCACGCAACTTCCCTGGCCGCAAGTAGGCGCTGAGCGCGACCAGCGCAGCCGCGGCCACATCCGTGCGACCCATCAGGTGAAGGGCTACAGATAGCCCGCAGATGGTCGGATACGGCGGAGGTAACCGACCCGGCGCTGGCCGCCGTCGTCCCCGCGCCTTCAAGGATCTCTCGAACCTGGCAAGCGGCTTGGCGTTGGGCCTCTTGAGGTTCGGGTAGAAGTGCAGTGCGGCAGCCTTCAGCTTCTCGCCATCGTGCCTTTTCCTGCCCTCCAGGTAAGCGTGGTCAGCCCAGTCCAGCAGGGCCTCCTCCAAGAAATCCGGGGTGTCGAGCTTCGAATCCTGGCGGCGAGCGAATGCGAATGACTCCTCGATCCGCCTGTTGTAGTCCTCGAACTGGACGAGCCTCACCGCGAAATTTGAAATGCTTCCGCTGCTGGCTGAGCACTGGGCGGCAGCCTGCCTTGTCGAGGTTGTGACCCGCGATCTCCGCGAGTCGCCGCGACGCCCTGCTGGCGTCGCCAGCGGTCGGGGCAGGACAAGCAACTCGGATGGACCTGTTCCCGCGTCCTCCAGCGGTGGCGGCTCCCGCGCGCGCGGGTTCAGTCGCCCAGTCGGCAGCGCGGCCGCCACCTCCAAGCGCCTTGTCACGTTGCGGGTCACTACCCCCGCAGCTGGCCTCCGTCTCGTTGTTGGCGCTCTCGTGACCACCCTAGGCATCGGGATGAACGAGCCCAGGAGGAGGGCGCCATGCACGAGCAGGATCTCCCAACGTGGGCTCCCGCTGTCGAGAAGGTCGACCAGCAGGGTTGATCTCGGACGGTATCCAGCGGCATTGCGCCCGTAGCCCAGTCGCCAGTTGGAGGGCCGCCATCTGTCGGAGCTGACCCAGCAGAGCGGGGTCCCTGCATCTGCCCTTCTGGAGGGCGAGCACGAGGCCCATGTTGTCCACCGGCATGAGGATCTTACTGTGACGCCAGCGGCCGCATCGCACCACGTGCTTGAAGCCCAGGTTGACACCTCGCGCCTCCTTGACGTGGATGGCCCCTCATGCCCACCACGAGGTCTCTTGGCCACCGCGGCCCACTTCGCCTCGCTGACGGAGGCAGAGTGGATGTCGGGCGAGTCGTCGCAAGTGAGCCAGGCCGCCTCCTCTGCGCCAGTGATGATGTTGCCGTCCCTGTCGATCGGGGGCTCGCCCAACTCGTGGCCGGCCAGAGCGACCTCTCGGTGTTTGCGGCGCGGGTCCTTCTTGAACCTCCAGCGCTCGTCCTGACGACCTGCAAGTCGTGCAGCATCAGGCGACCACGCAGCAGCGCAAACGCCAAGGCCAGTCTGACTGGCGTCAGCCGCCACCACCTGGTCAAGCCAACCCGCCCCGTGATCCACGTGGACCAACGGCGCGATGGCGGCGGCGATGAGCAGCTCCCGCTTGACGCTTGGCCAGATGTTCTTGGCCTCGTCACTAGCAGATTCGGCGAAGGCGAACGCGGCGGCACTGCATGATAGACACGGTCGCCGCAGCAAGAACGAAGCACAAGTGTCCCAGTATGGCCCGCATCTCCCTCCCTGTACAGCGGCCTTGCCGTGCGAGTGCATGCGGCC